TTCGGACGGTTGGCTGGGGAGGCTGAGGTTTGGTGGCGACAGCAGATGGATATCTGTCAGTTGATGGTAGGTCATTAGTCGACGCTTCTGCCATAATCTCTGCTCGCAGCGCAGCGGGTGACAACGGCCAACTTACGGTACTCTTCAGAGCTATTTCCAAGCTCCGCACAAAGGACAAGGTTCGCATCTCGCCAGAGTTGCTCCCGCTGTTGGGGGCTATACTTGGTTGCCTCTTCAAAAACCAATCTCTCGCCTTTTTGCAGAAGCACGCCATCGATCGTAACATCCTGCTTCGGTGAGTAGAATGCTCGATGTCGACCACCGGCAACATCGTAGTCTGTCACCACCTCCCATTCAGAAAGCTTGAATGCCTCGTATCCAAGAACCGCATTCGCATGTAATAACCCATTCTCGTAGAACTTCTGGGTAATGCCCTTTGAATCGTTATATGCCTTATAGACCTTTTCCGGGTCCGTACAAGCATCTAGCCCGACGATCATCAGATCAGACGGCTTGAGTAGCCGAGCAAATTGGGCAAGAAACTCTGCTGCACCTTCACGACTGAAATTCCCAATTGAGGATCCCATGGACATGACCACAGTGGGACGCTGTAGGTTCTGGGGATTGCTCAACCAGGCAAGGGCATCATCATAGGTCCCGTGAAGACCGTGGAGATCAACATGAGAGTACTCGTCAGGTGATACCTCGGCAAAGGTGCGCTGTAGCTCTGACAGAGATAGGTCCAACGCATAGTAGTCGACGTGCTTTCCTGTCCGCTCGAACTCTTGAAGGAGGATTTTTATCTTACGGAGGTTTCTGCACAGGTGGTTAGATACACGCTTCATTGGCATATGTATACTCGGGGCATTCTTGGGAACAAATCATACCCACTACCTAGCTCCAATAATTGTGCGTTCTCGGGGACGCGTTCCACAATCTTCTTAGAGTAGTTCTGCAACACTTCGATTTCCGCGTTGGTCAGGTAATACTCATCCACGTAGGTGATTTCTTCGAAGAGCTTAAGCCCTTGAGCGTCATAGAGCAGCATGGTGGGCAGTGACTTTGGAGTACCCTCGGGAGGATTGAGGCCTTTGCGAATCTCATTCACGAGCGAGAATTCCACGTCATTTTGATGTATATCAACGATCTCGACATTTTTCGAAGCGCACGCCAAAGGGGACATTCTGACTATACTTTTAAGTCAAGGGTCAACAGGAGGAAAGGAAAGGCGAGTCGTGTGTTCTTGGAATAAAGAATGAAGAATTAATTCAGGTTGATATAGGGAGATTTCGGCCCTTGTTTCTACAGAAGAATTGAGTGAGGGGTACTGGAGGGGAATGCACTAGTTTAAATCACAGAGCTGCTGGATCAAATGAAAAAATGAAATAAATCGAGGGAATTAGACGGAACATTCTCCAGGCGCAGTAATAATAATAGTAGAATATGATGCAGCATCATGATTAGTTTGGTGAGGTAGAAAGGGCAGCTCTATGGGCCAGACCTCGAGCTCCTGCCCGGATGTAGGTAAGCATCGCCAGATCCAGCATCATCATCATGTTGATTTATGGAACACGATAGGCCGGCCCTGAATAATACACTTCGAGCTAACCAAGGAGAAACGGAGCTATACTGATGCAAACACCCCGCACTATCCTCTCTCTCTCGCTCAGCAAGGGAGGAATAATACCAAGGAGCCGCCAGAGGCGAAGATCGCGAATTGAATGATCAGATGGGGGATGGGAAAATCTGCGAGGTACAGAGACCGGACACGGTGAGTGGTGTGACGTCGACGGCCATCCCACTCTGCAGCAGTACCTGTACCTGAGCGTACACCACCCATGAAAGTCTTAATGCAAGTCACAATTAGTTTTCGAGTTAGCCCCGCCAGTAGCCTGTATCCATATTTTTGATGCCTTTTTGCAATTGCGACTTCTAAACACTTCTCAACATCGACTTGATTCTCCGTCGTCCTCAGAGAAAACCTGACTCAACCGGATTGCAAGTGACTCATGCAAACGGAAATATCACCATGAGTATCAGTGATCCTGCCGTAGAACTGGGAGTCGCTCCAACCATAAGCGCGCAAGCTGCCATGGCTGCAATCCCAGTGGAGACAACGGGCAAGATGGATGACGTTGGTGAGTTTGCAACTGTTTTGCACTGTTTGTCTGTCTCACTTTCTCCATATGTGTCTGTTTGTTAAGTTTGCTAGTTTCCACAGGAATGTCTGTATTCCGTGGATCCACAGCGCTAGGTAGTCATCTACATGGTTACCACTTACAGCTTCCTCTTCAAGTTTCTGAGCGAGAACCAAGATAAGAGGTATGTTATTGGGTGATCTAACACCTCCTTTCAATTTTCAGGTAACACCATTATGTGAGGGGATTTTACAGCCGCCAGGAATAAAGCTGCGAGCCACAGCCGTCTGCCTAGCTGCCTTAGCCACCGGTTACATCACGTGATTAACACTCCAGGTTCCAGAGTATCTCGTAGAGCCTCATAATTTCACTACATCTCTCAGCTCAGGTACCCTACTTTCCCTTAGGTATCTGCCTTGTGATTTACTTGTAATTTGTAGTATTCCATCGCTTAGAACTGTTTCAAAGTACAGTGATACCGGCTTGGTATTCCCAAAGTGGCTGTGCCAATTCCATAACAAAAGGCAACGGTCCTCGCCACTCGCATAAAGCCGGCCGCCCGAATAAACTAGTGGTATGATTCTTGCATTCAGGCGACTCGATAACGCCTTTTTCCATATATTGAATTCTTGAGGAGATTACAAGATAATTCCTACCATTGATTTAGGAGTACGATGCTAGAGGTCACCTTTTGTTCCTGTTTCTAATATCTCTATCTAAACTAGAATGTCTCTAGGTCTTATACTGTCATCAATCTTGTTCATAACATAGCCTGTAGGACCCTGTCCGGTAACGTGCAACGGAATATATCCGGCAAGTGACTCAAAAGACGCCAATCGATCGTCCAACGTCACTGGTGGAGAAATCCCACGCCCAGCATGCAACAAGCATACCGCCCACACTCATCATGAAAGCCATCAAAACATTCACAGCATTATTATCCAGCACATCCCATCCGCTCTCGACACGCCGGCTCTCATGATGCGGCTCCGTGGCCCGCCCCGGTGACTTGCCCCTCGAAGTCCCAGTAGCCCGAGTACCCTTCAACGCGGCAGCATTCGCGACCTCCTCCGTATTGCGGAGATGTACGCTCCCGTCAATGCTGTGAGAGAAGCTAGCCACTGGCGCTGTGCTGCCAGGCCGAGCGGAGGAAGGATGGACGAGGACCTGCATCCCGCATTAGACACCCTGCGGAACGAGCGTGAAACCACCGAATGAAACATACCTTCCCACCACCAGTGCCCTCGACAATCTTCCCGCTGCGCTTATCAACCACGCTCGCCTGTAACAGCCCACCCAGGATACTGTCCAGCACACTTCCCAACGCGCCCCAGACCGTCACAGCCAGGACCCACTGGACCCTGCTCACCACCCCAGACGCCTCCCCCGAGCAGAAAGGTATGAGGATGGCCGATGTCACCGCAATGGTAAACGCCCCCAGCACACCAGCCAACAACCCCGTAGCCGAAACCCCACCATTCGTACCGGGCGGCACAACCCGGAGGGTAGGCGACGTAATCAGCCGCGGCTGTGACTTGGAGAGGATCCCCAGCTCAGAGGAAAACGTGTCCGCAGCGACAGCAGCGTAGTTCCTAACCGCAATCCATCAACATCAGTACCCATCACCCGAGAACGAATCCACAGGACGGAAAAACATACGCCACAATCCCCACAACCAAGACATCTCCCGCCCGACGACCAAGCGAAAAACACCCCTCCTCCTCCTTCTCCGCGCCGCGGACCAGAACCCACGCATGCAGCAGGACTAGCACCGTCGCGACGACCGAGTTCGCTAACACCTGGATATGAGTGCGCTGGGCTTCGCCGCCCTCGGCGCCCGTCGCGGAGAGCGTAAGGCGAGCCTTGACCTCGTGTTTGACCTAATGCCCGCGACGCCCGGAATCAATCAGTCGATTGCGGAAGAGAAACGGGGGCATATCGCACGATCGCAGAGGGTACATACCTTCGTGACCTTCGATCCGCCCAGGTAGAATACCGCGAGCAGCGCAAAGGGCGCGGACCATGGATGCACGACGTGCGCGATCGCGGTCAGGAGTGCGGCGAAGATGCCCAGTGGTGTGAGGGTCTTGCGTGACCAGGCGCGGTGGACGAGCGCCAGGACGGCAGGGACGGCGAGGATGGGTTTCATTTTGTAATGGTTGACCCTGTAGTGTGCTTTAGTAGGTTAGGTATGCTGATAATACGAATGTAGAGAGCATGGTTAGAATGGAAGTGGGTGCGTAAGCTGTTCAGCTGAGAGATAACCTGTCGTGTAATCATTTATTTCGAACCGGTTACCCCATCCGGTGTAGTGGAGCTCAGCTGTTAACTGGCGTCATCCCGATCAGCTCCACCCCAGCAATCGATCTACAGCTTCAAAAGAAGTCTCTTATCCTCATCTTCAGCATCATCTCTAAGCAAAGGTCCAATTCTGGTTTTACTCTCGGGATAGTGCTGCACTTGTATCACTGAACACCAATGATCGACATGTATATAACTGCTTTTGAAAACAAAGCCTAGGCTAATCGACACGCCCGGTTGCTAATATAAACAAAAGTGACCACAGTCTAATACTATACAGCCACAACTTGCGAAAGGGACTCCGGAAATCCTCTAATATTCAAACCCTACGGGTATCAACAAGCCAAAATGACTCATTAGCCTGAAGATCTCCGTGTGACTATCAGCCCTCCTGGATAATACCGGCTAAATCGTGCCCAACGGACCAACACAAGGATAAAGCCGGACATGGGTCGGGAGTCCGCGCGACTAAGTCAATATACTGCAGCAGTACCACCCTCGATGCACGCGTCCTGCAGTAAGCGCACAGTCAATGCGCCAGACAGCGAAAGAAAGATCATCTCATAGATGGAACCCCCCATGTTCATTGACCTCACAGAATCGCCATAAGCCAGCCGCTACTGCAGCATCCTTGACCGAGCCCAGTTCTTCATCGCGAACAGCCCGGTTGATGTCGGCATAGCGGACCTCAGTTTTGTCCTCCTGGCTCGCGTTCCTTGTGGTCCGCTTCTTCTTGCCAACGTGTGCGTCAGGGTGGTACTGTTCCATGATATGTACATAAAGATCATTTGAGACGTTCTCCGCGAGCCAGCGCATGATCTCACGGCCCTCGTCTTCTTTCCCGGGCATGACCAGATGCCGCAGTAGTACCCCTTTCTTCGCAATGCCGTCGGATGTGAAGGACAGGTCGCCGACTTGCCTGTGCATCTCCTTGATGCTCTCCTTGGCGGTTTCAGCGTAGTCATCTGCCTTGAGTAGCCGTTTAGACGTGCTGCTCTTCCATACCTTGAAATCAGGCAGGTATATGTCTACCAGTCCGTCCATCAACTGGAGTGACTCAAGCGAGTCGAAGGAAGACGTATTGTAGATGATGGGAATCTTCAGGCCCATGTCACGGGCGGCCAGGATCGAGAGAGCCACCTGGGGTACCACGTGTTCTGGCGTGACGAGGTTGATATTATGTACATTTCCCACCTGTTGGAGTTTGATGTACCACTCCGCCAGTTCTTCAGGGGTTAGGTCGAAGCCGTTTCGCTGGTGCGCAATATCCTAGTTCATGTGATGTCAGAGACAGTCCACAAGAGTGTTGTTTCAGCCATCACGAGAACGTACATGGTTCTGACAAAAGACACAGCGCAGATTGCATCCAGAAAAAAAGACAGACCCGCTTCCATGGTACCCCTGTATACATGGCTCTTCACCTCGGTGCGGCGCAATGACATTGACCTTGGCCGTTTCGGCACCGATTAAGCATACCCCCGTCTCTTCGTATCGATTCACACCACAGCGACGAGGGCACAGATTGCAGTTCTGTAGGTGAGCGTAAGCGAGCGAGCGTTTCTTTGCTGCGTCCACGGAAGAAAGAAGTTGATACCGTGGGATATATTCGTCTAGGAGAAATTGAGGTGGTATGCCTAGGAATCGTCTGGGTACAAGGGGAGACAAAGGCGAGCCCCAGCGGACTTGGCGAGGAGCGAAGGGTCGTAAGAACCTGCTGAGGCTGGCCATGATGACATATAAGGGTTTATATCAGATACTCCATTTCCTGATGTGCTGGCTGCGAACATGTGCAACAGAGATGAAAGAAAGCTTAGCCGAGCACAGGAGGATGGAATGCTTATCGATAAAGGCCAGTGGCGTCATAACGGCCTGAGGCCGCAACTACAGTGCAGCAACTATAAACGAATGGCCATGGGTTGATATTATCGTTGCGAGCTTCTATGATTGATCACCCAAAGATATAAGATGGTCGTGATAATATCAGCGGTTTTTTTTTAATTTGAACTTGTTTTCCAGAATGTAGCTGCGTTGAACAAGAGATATGGCTCCGGGCACTCGTGTGTACAGGGTATGAAACAACGCAAGATCCTAAGTGTACAGGTATTGGTATCCATCGAAGAACGATCGAAAGCAACAGTAAGATAGGTAAGTACTAATCAAAGCAAGAGCCGTTGTATTTTATCGGCAGCCCATAAGCTCAAGGTGCGTTATGCCCGCCTCTCCGAACCACCACAGCCCGGGATCGTTCGATCGACGGCGAGTCGGTCCAAGAGCCTGGCGATGAAGACGGATAGAAATGGAGAAAGATACGGGGGAAAATGGAAAAAAAAGTAAGTATGCAAGTGATATGAAGATTATGTTGGACAAGGAAAATATCCCACCAGCTCCAGTCGCTTCCGTTTGAACTCCCAAACCCAGGCCTGTGGGCCATGTTCCCGATGATGATTCCCATGGTATCGCATCACGTCGTCACGTCTGACTGGTGTATATATAGATTTCGAGAACGCCAAAAGAAGAAAACCAGCGCCGAAAAACGAGCTCAATCTCAGAGCGCAAGACCACTGCCGTCACCGGTCCAGCGGTAGAGAGCGAGCACTTCCCGTCTACGTTGCTGCTGTTCGCCAAAGTCCTCGGGTAGGCGCCCACGAACCTGCGCGAGAGCCGAACGCATGACTTTGCGGAAGGTTCTCTATAGCAAAATGGCATTAGCATTTCGATGTCCGATCCAGGATGAATTTCGCTACAGAAGCCTACCTGATATTCGGTATTGAGCGTCACGACGCAGGCTTCATGCGCCCGAACTATAGTCTCACACGCCCGGACCACACTTGGACTTGCGTCACCTTGTAATTTGTCGGCAGTCAAGAGCAGCAAGAAGCTGCCCTGCAATAGATAGATCCCGAAGAAGAACGGCATGAAGCTGAGATCCGGGTCAAACTCCAGAATGTCCGCAGCGGCCTCGGCGGCGCCGACCGCATGGCCCATTGCCGCAACAAATGATTCGGAAGAAATCCAGAGATCGTTGTCGTCAAGCAGATTGATCGGATCCCATTTACCTGCCAAGAGAATATGAAGAACATGCATGATATGTGTTCCGTAGGCGACCACCATCTTGGTGTGCACAATTGACTCGTTCACGCGTGATTCGACTGTGCTGCTCGAGCGGCCCGAAGGACTCACATGGTTCAGATGAGACCCTTCCATAGCGGCCTCAGTCTCTGCCGCGCCCAGAGCGAGACTGCTAGTGTATCGCGTTTCGAAATCCTTGAGGCTCTGTGCATACACATCTAGTTGGCGCGCGATCTCGAGGACCTGCGACTCGCACTCGGCACTGTTCCGAAAGGCAAGACCAAACCGTGGATGATTCCTGGCCTGCTGCAGGTCGACAATCTCTCCGAGAATCGTCATCAACGGGAGGAAGTACCCGAACATGCTATGGCCTGTACACTCTACTGGAGGGCCTGCCTGGCGATAAGTGGCAAACTCGCCGGCTTGCCACAGGTCGTCATTCATCGGTTGCAAGAGTCCCTCGCATTCCTTGTCTAGCAAGGTCAGAGGACGGTTGTAACAAAGCGCCAAATGACGATCCGTCGCGTAAAGTAACCACCAGAGACGTCGGCGTTCTTCTCGCTCCTCTTCGGTGATGTTGACGACGGTGCTTCCCGGGCCGTGTCCCATGGACGTGATGAGAGGCGGAGGATGTCGCTTTGAAAGATCGGCATCTGGGTCCCCGTCTCGCTCAGCATCGGGCCGTGGGTGAGGAGTGTTTGGCGGCAACTCGCGGCCAAGCTTCAACTCCCGCGCGAGAGACCACGCCGCTGTCCACCAACGCATACTGGCTGCTTTGTATTCGCTTGCAGAGATGACCGTCGCCAAATGGACGTAGGTGGCGACGTCGTCCACGGCGCCCGTAGCGCTGCTTTGAGCACCCAACTGATCCATCGAGACCCCGAAGCCACCTAGAGCGACACCGTTGATGACCATGTTTGCAGCGTAGTTGGGCGATGTTTCCCCGGGCGCAGGGCCGTGGATCAGCGGCCTGAGTAAACCGATAGTCAATTCGAGTAGCTTCTGGCAGACTCTGCCTCGCGCTGATGGAGGCGATGTGAGGAACGGGGCGTCGCTGGTCTGAGCTGCAACCCAGAGCATACTGGCCAGGAGGCCAGGTGTGCAGACTCTCGGTTTTGTAGGATGAAGGAAGGATTGCTTTCGGAAAATGTACCCAACCACATAGGGCGACTGGGGGGATAGGTGGGACGAGGAAGAGCTAGTGAAGTAGACGTCAAGGAGATCGCAGGCAAGGGACTGAGGAATAATAGACGCAATGTGAGGCAAGACAGGATGCAAAACGGGGTATCTCAATGTCGTAGAAAACGAGGCCATGCTGAATGAAGGAAAATTCGCAGGAGATGGAGAAGGGAGTGACAACCAGCCGGGCGACTGAGCTGGCGGGGAGAGCCCGAGAAACGAATTTGGTGGATTTTCTGTGGAGCTACCGAGTCGGAAGTGGCTGATCGAGGTTGAGTTTGGCTCCTGTGAATTCATGAGCGGATATGCACCGTCATTGTACCCGCCGTTGTATCTGTGAGGGGGCAGAATGGACGGCGGGGAGCGAGGGTTTGTATGCGAGCTATGTAGCATATGCAGTGATTGGAGTTCTGGTACTGGCATCGAAGGTCGGCTCGAGTCGTTCAACCCGTTGTAACCATTAAGAGGCAAGCCTTCCAGGCCACCGCCCATAGACGGCTGAGAATGGGGCGGAAGATGCTGAGAATTCTGCATCCCGACCATGCCTGATGCTTCAGAGTGCTGTGCCGAGCCATTCAGATTCCGAGGGGCGTCGAAAGCCGGGTCGTATCTTCCATTGAGCGTCGGTCGCCTATCTTGGGAAGTGTGTCCTCCGACCATTGCTGCGTCTTCCTTGCCTGAATTGCCATTCGGCTGTCCAGGAGTCGTGGCGGCCGCGGCCGCAGCGGCGAGGTCCTTCTTTGAAGCCTTTCCACGCTTCTTTCGTTCTCGCGCGTATTCGCAGGTCAACCCGAATTCTGCTCACTTCTGTCAGTCCCGCCGATACAAATTCTGGGAATGTGGTGGGGACACTACCGATGCAATGGGCACAGGGGTTCTGCCCGTCGCATTTAGTGCGTAGCTGATTGCACTGGTCACAAGCGCGACTGATTCTCCGTCGAACAGGCGCCGAGGCCGAGTTTTTCCTGATTGTGGACCGAGCCTCGACGAGGGGATCTCGCTGCGAAGCATTCTTGAAGCTGGGGAGGGAATGGTTGTTGTGGTGATTGTCGTTATCGACTTGATACTGATCTTTAGGTTTTCCCATAGAGTCTGTAGTATCGCCGGCGCCTGCAGCTTCTCGCGACAATTGCAGCTGCTCCAGCGCATACTGCGAACCCTCTGCCAGGGTGTCGAGCCCAGAAGTTTGAGATTGCGCCATTCGATTCGAGGAAAGACTGGAAGAAAAGGGAGAATAGGAATGAGGAAAATGCTGAACTGAGGTTGTTGACATCCTCACGGGCGAAGCAGAGCAATCGGCCTATCTACAGACATAGAGACGGAAAGAGGACGCAGCAAAAACCTGGAGATGTGGAGAAATTCAAGGGCCCTAAAGGCCCCAGAAGTCGTCGGAAAACGAAAATAGCGTGTTGACAGCAATCGGATCGGCAGAATTACCACTTGATAAACTGACCAGCAGCCGTGACCGTAGAAAACAGTCGCGCGGGGTGAGATGACGAGGGGAAGAAGGTACCGAATCAGCAGAGTCAAGAGTTCATTGCCGAAAGACCACCAGACCCTGATGTGAGAGTAAAATAATAATAAATAATAGCCAAGGCAGGGAGAGAGCGGAGTTGGCTCGGAGGTATTAATTAACAGACGGAGTAGAACCGAATCAAGAGCCAGAAAGCAGCTAACAAAATCCCAGTTAGTCCTGTGCCAGTGAGACAGACAGGCAAAGGAAGGATCAGCTCTATAGCGCTTCCTGGAGAACGAGGTCACCGAGGCCAAAAAAGGCACTAAGAACCACGAGGGCAAAAAGCAAAGCTGGTGAAAAACGAGCAAGAAAAGGTAAAAGTGAAGGAAGGGAAGGGAACAAAGGCTGAAAACTGAATAATAATAGAAAATAATGAATTGGGGGAGGGGAGAGCTAGACTAGACTAGAGAGAGCCCCAGGCTGGGATGTTCCGGGGATGTAGACGAATCGAGTATGGAACCACCAACCAAGGGAAATGCCTTTGCCTGGGTCGAGTTTAGCGAGGAGAACTAGAACTGGAACGGGCCACAGCTCGAGCTGGTCGGCAGTGGGGAAGACGAACGTGCAATCTTGGTTAGGTCCTCCGTACGGAGTACTTGCTGTGCTTATTAGCCAGTCAGCGAGGGGAAATCTGAAGTGAAGGGTAATGAGGAGAGTTTCATCTTGGAAAAGACAGGTTCTTAGACTAAATGAGGAGTGATTCGATGCTGCTCTGTAGACCCTTAGTGTCGACATTAATTCCAGGATAAAATTTCCACACCGGCCAGAAGGGTAAAAAGGCGGGGAAACCGAGAAGAGACGTCCTTAGTACTTTGCCTACTTCGGAGACGGAGTATGTACGGAGTGCTCTGCAGTCATCGGCCTGCTCAGTCCTTTCCTGGTCATGTTCTCTCCGGACGGGGTCTCCGGATCGTCAGAAACCATCACAACAAGTACCAGTACCAGTATCCAGAGATTTATTCAA